GGTCTAAATTGATTAGAATTTGGCATAGGTGAAAATGCATTATTGGTAGGTGATTGATTTCTCCATGAAAAATTAGGATGATTACGCCAATTAGGATTATAAGTATCACCAAATTGATTAGAGGCAGGCTTACCAAAAGCATTCAACACATTAGCATGCTCAAAAGAATTATCAGAGTAAGAAATCATATGAGGACACATAGAAGCATCATGCATTGTACTCGAACAAACAGCACAAATATCAGATATAATATTTTTAGAAGTGCCGATTGCCTTATTTGTCCCTAGAGCCTTGACTTCTTGTGCGAGATAATCTAATCTAGCCATTATATCCACATTATTACTCACTTCATATAAACCACTTTTTTTATTAATTTGATTTGGCTTTTCCCTAGGATTAGAAAAGTCCCATTGTTGAGAACTTTCAGAAAGTGTTTCAAAGAAATTAAAGGCATCATCTTCACCTAAATTTAAAAATCCTCCACCATTCATTGATTCTACCATATTTCTATTAGATTGAGTTAAACCATTATAAAAATATTTCACCAACCTCCAATTCTCAAAACCATGATGAGGACACTTTAACAACAAATCCTTAAATCTTTCCCAAGTCTCATAAAATTTCTCATTTTCATCTTGATAAAAATCAGTTATTTGTCTTCTTAAAGCATTAGTTCTTGACATAGGGAAAAACTTAGCAAGGAATTTTTTAACCAAAGCATCGCATGTTCTAATAGATTGAGGAGGTAATGAGTTAAGCCAAACTTTTTCCTTATCTTTTAAAGAAAAAGGAAACAATCGCAAGCGTACAGATTCTTCAGAAAAATTTTGAAATTTGAAAGTAGCACAAATTTCTAAAAAATCTTTAACATGCAAATATGGATCCTCATTACTTAAGCCATGAAAATTAGGTAAAAGATTGATTACCTGAGGTTTCAGCTCAAAATGTGTTGCAGTGGTAGCAGGCAAAATGATGCACGAAGGTGGATTTGTTGATATTGGAGAAAACAGTTCTCTCAATGGCTTGGGCTCAACTGCATCAACTTCTTCTGCCATTTTAGGATCTTCTATATCCACGCTAATAAGACGATTTTCGTGATCACGAAGCCAAACTCTCATGCAACAACAAAAACTCTAAAAGGAAGGTCAGCAAACTTTTTTTTATCAACTTTTTATTACTTTTTGTTTTTTTTGTAATTTTTTTATTATTTTTAGATTTTTTTTTAAAGTTTTTTTTTAAAGATTTTTTTTTAAAACAACTAGTAGAAGGAAAACTCAACTACAATCTAGAATTCAAATCTTTTCAAGTCCCCGGCAACGGCGCCAAAAACTTGTTGTGATATTTTATTTACTCGCAAGTGCACGAACCGTACAAAAGTATAGCAACGCAAATACGAGGTCGATCCCACAGGGACTTGATTATGTGAAGAATTTTATTCTAGATTCAATTGAATATTTCTAATCTAGTTGGACAAAATTTAATATTAAAAAGAAACAACTAAATATGAAAGTGAATAATTTTAAAGAAAACTTAAATTAAACAAAAACTAAAGATTTTACTAACTACTAAAAATTAAGAGATTAAAAATAGGTTTTCAAATACGAGAAAGAACTAGGACTTGGAATCCA